GTCCCTAATTTTAAACTTATAAACTAGAGACAAAGCACGTAGTCAAGAACACTCTCTTCCACCTCTTGAGCTTTTGAAATAAAAAGTGGAATTTGACCGCCACTCTTACAATGCACAACACAGTCACAGCTCCAAAGTTCGGAGCGCAATGTTGGAGAAACATAGAAAAGTTATGTTTTTATAATATCTAAATATTTAAATGTGTATAATATAATTATTTAGTAATTCAATTGTGTGTATTAGACTTGGAATGTTTATCATGGCTTTATTTCTAATTTTGGTACATGGTGGCCTTAAATCAGGTGTTTGTATATGTGTTTTTGTGAAAGTTGTATGGTTTGATAGTTTCTACATGTATGGTGTTTATTGTATTCTATAAGTACATATTATTCGTATGTGGAGGAAGTTCCAGAGTCTTGGTCGAGTATATAATTAGTCATTGATTAAGGACTACACAGGTAACACATGTTACAATGGTGAAAAAAAGTTACAATTGTTTCAAGTAGCACTAAAAACCTGGATGAGCGTAAATTGCATTGATTTGTATTATTTGTTTTCACAGCTTTGCTAAATATTGATGTATTATGTATATTAGTTTTTCAGAATTATTTTGGTACTAGGGATAAGCTTGTGCTATGCCTGCTAAGAAAACTTAAAACTATTATTGGATTTTGATAATAAATGATGACAATTTACTTCACAGAGTGTTCTCGAAATTATTAGGATTGTAACAAAATCCTAAAGAATTGTTATATAACATGTCAGAGACCTTTATAATTTCTATATAACTGACTTAGGGAATGTCTTTAGAAGCATTTAGAACATTTATAGAAACAATGTCCCACTTTCCTAAAGATATTCTTTAAGTTTTATAAAAACAATTCTACAAGATATATATATGATAAATCTTCTTCTTTTTTTTATAAAATTCCTATAAAAGTTTTCGTTGGGGTCTGATCATTATGCACAATGACCTTTCTTTTATCATTACCGTCGTTAATATCAGGAATATTACAATAACTGGTGAAATTGAATGGAAATGAGGTTATCAGTAACAAGTAACATTAATGAAAGGCATTGAAGTCTATAAAAATGTATGTGTATAAGTACTGAGTTACTCGTATAAGTGGCCTGTTTCTGTGAGACAATGCTGAAACGTATTACTGAAGGTTTTTCTAATGTAGTGTTTGAGAGTATCATCTAGAAGCGGATTTGGCCCTTAGTACCTTTATATGTCACCATATGAATTCACAATGGCTTCTTAAATATGTGTTGAAGTGTAATATGATGTAAGGTCCTAGCTTCCACGAAGACATAATCGTACTGTATATCGCAGGCTGAAAAACTGGTTTATAGATTTGTAAACATTTAAAAGCGGAGAACATAAATTTTCGTATTTATCCAACAAACCTAGACAATAGAAAGGAATATTTTAAATTCTAACTATAAAGTTTTGAAAATAATGAGTAATTATATTATGTTTTGAGACGTATTGAATATAAAAAAGGATATTAAAAGTACTATGTATTTTGTTCATTAGCTCACAAGACAAAGGTTTTTTGTTTTATATATTTATACATATATATATTTCTACACGTTTAAATACTCCATTGTAAAACTTCCAAATGATATATACACATACGCAAAGTTTGTGCTCAATAAATTACGCATTTATTACACACATTCTTTTCCAACTAAGTTCCTTGTTTGAAACTACCTTTTCCAGTTTGCAGGCATCATTGTCAATTGTATCCCGCTTTTAATAAGGTCATATTCGAATTAGATAAGTTTTAATATTATGAATTAATTTTAATCATTTTAAGAAAGTAGCAGTTCAATAAATTGCAAACTAGATTTCATTAAGAAATTAATATCTTAAGTTTGCTACAGAGTAATTGGTCCACGTGGAGATTTATAATGTTTTTTGCAACTATATATATACAAAGCTCTAAAGAATCATCGGTGTAATCAAATTATGAAGTACTTTATGCTACCTGTAAATAATGTTAAGAAAAATAGCTCTTTTTAAGCACAAATTAAGCAAAAAACTCTAACTAACTGAAATCAATTTACAAAATATACAGTTAATTACTCGACTAATTTCGACGTATCATGTACATCATTTTCAAGGATATACTGTGCGAAACCGCGACGTCTACGATACTTGTTTTTAGTTTGATTTCGACATACCTCACGTCATATTTTGGTCTGATTTCGACATACCTCACGTCATATTTTGGTCTGATTTCGACATACCTCACGTCATATTTTGGTCTGATTTCGACATACCTCACGCCATATTTTGTTCCGTTGAAGAATATTTTCTATAATGGATTCACTTGAAAGCCTATATTATTGTTTATGAGTCTGTCTGCATTTTTATGTTTTTTAACTTATTCCCTAATATTTCTTTGGTGAAAACATTTTGGTTCTGCCATGAGTTTTGTTTCTATGAATTTGCTTTTGTGTTCACTCAAGCGGTGATGGCTGATTTTTCCATTACCAAACAGCGACGATGATTTTCGTGTTATTTTATTCTTACTCTAAGAGTTTGTTTGTTTGTTTCTGAATTTCGCGCAAAGCTACACGAGGGCTATCTGCGCTAGCCGTCCCTAATCTAGCAGTGTAAGACTAGAGGGAAGGCAGCTAGTCATCACCACCCACCGCCAACTCTTGGGCTACTCTTTTACCAACGAATAGTGGGATTGACCGTCACATTATAACGCCTCCACGGCTGAAAGGGCGAGCATGTTTGGTGTGACAGGGATTCGAACCCGCGACCCTCAGATTGCGAGTCGAGTGCCTTAACCACCTGGCCATGTACTCTAAGAGACCGTCTAGTTTGACCTATGTAGACTTTGTTGCATGGGATTTGGATCGAATACGTTCCTTATTGTGAGGAAAGGAAATCCACTGTAAACTATTAATAAAAGTCCAAAGATACAGCTTTTGAGTGGATTGTTTATTTTTATTTAACTTTCTTTTACGACGTTTCAACTACTCACCTGATGATGACCACATGAGTGGTCGAAACGTCGTAAAAGAAAGTTAAATAAAAATAAACAATCCACTCAAAAGCTGTATCTTTGGACTTTTATTTGAATATGTTCATTGTTTCTGGAAGTCATTGTTTCAAAGATAAAAAAAAACATCAACTTTAAAAATAATCTGTTTATCTTAATACCAATCATAATTGTTTTTTACTGAAGCAAACTACTAAGATGATAATTTTCGTTTTACACACACACACCGAAACACGCAAACACATACATATATATATATATATATGGATATAATTTTTTTACGTGATAAAACAATGCTCTTCTTCTGGTGTTCTTCAATAACCAAGTTTCGTTAATTGTGAGTTAACTACTTTGGAAATCTCATGTGCGTTCATCGTATAAATATATATTTGTGTGTGGTATGGCGTAATAGAAGGCTAGTTTGTGTGTGGTATGTCGGAAGATAACACTAAGCTTGTTAATGGTATACCGGAAAAGAAGACTAGATTTATTTGTGGCCTACGAGAAGAGAATGCTAAGTTTGTGAGTGGTATGTCGGAAGAAAATACTAAACTTGTATGTAATATATCGGAAGAGAAGACTAAATTTGTATGAGGTATACTGGGAGAGAAGACTTAGGTCATGGGTGGTATGTCGAAAGAGAAGATGAATCCGGCAATAATTTTGATATTCCTAAAACACTAACTCAAGTAATTCGATAATCTTCATTTCTTGTGTTTGTATATATATCTATAATATATGTTTTTTCTACATGTGAATGACCTTTCCGATACTCTTTTTTGCTATCTTACATCCAACAATCTCACATCCAACCTACCTGATATGTTCTGGTATTGAAGAAGGTTCTTGCGACAGACCAGAGATCTGAAATGTCCTTGTTATACACAGTTGGTTTACATGGGACTAACTAAATGAAATGTTTTATAAACCTCTGCAGTTCAAACTTAGAATCTTAATTTTTATAGAGCATTGTTAACAAATTCGATGACGAGGAACCCACTTTGAGACTAATAATGGCTGGAGACGGCTTAAATGGGTAATGAAGAAAAACTTTAATATAAGTTTAACATGACAGCAAATGTACAACGTTTCGACAGTGTTTTGTTATCATCAGGTGATGATGATGATGATGACAAAACCTTGTCGAAACGTTGTACATTTGCTGTCATGTTAAACTTATATTAAAGTTTTTCTTCATTACCCATTTAAGCCGTCTCCAGCCATTATTAGTCTCAAAGTGGGTTCCTCGTCATCGAATTATCCCACTATGTTTCGAACGTACTATCAGTATACTAAGCTCGAGTTTCCACCAGCAAGAGTCCACCTTGAAGAAATG